TAAACAGAGAACCCAGAGCCCTGGCCCCAAATCTAGAGAAGATAAAGCCAGCACCTGGCCAGTGCCCTTGGGGCCAGCCCACTGTGCCAGGGACATCGCCAAGGCAGACCTGCAGGTGGTCATCCTTGCTTCAGGCTCATAAGCCCTGAGGCCCTGACATGCAGCAGCCTGGGAACAGCTGGAGCCAGGTCACTCTCCTGTGTTGCGGGACTACCTTGTGAAACGGTGCTGGCAAGGCTGCCTCCTGAACCACTGAGTGGCCATGAGCAGGGAGGTGCTGGTGCACATGTAGGAGCCACGGAAAGCTGAGTGCCCTTGAACTTCACTCTACCCGGCAGGCACTGCACATTTGCAAAGTGGGGAGAAGGACTGAGGTGTGTCTTCCAGGGATCTTTCCTGTTTTTCCCAGCTCCTGGGTCTCCTAAAGCTGGATGGCTCAAGGCCTGGATTTGCAGACAGCCTTCCCCGTGTATGCTCTGGGCCTGCTTCCCAAGATACCCTTTTTTCTGCATGCTAGCCTTACAGGTGGTACCTCAGCACAGAGGTCCAAAAAGGTGTTCTGCCCTCTGGCTGGACCTCCTCCTGGACTGCCTTCTGCACCTCCACTGCTGATAGTCAGGCACAATCCCAAGCCTGTCTTCCCCCCACATGCCACTGAATCTTCTGGACTCTTCTGAGATACCCCCCAACCCATTGATCAATATTCTCCCAGCCTGCGGCAACTAAGGGACATGCAATGTGGTGGAGGGCTGAAACCCATGCTCCATGAGAAGTCATGGAAGGTGAAAAAGGAGAAACCCAGGGCAGAGTCTTTCTCTGCAGTAACCCCAGGAGTGTGGGGTTAGGGAAGGCATGAGACACTACTGCTGCAGCTGAAGCTCTGACGTGGGAGAGATGGGTATACAGGCTGCAAGCCCCCCAAGTGAATGTTTTCTAACGGTACTGGCCAGTACACAACGGGCTGTCCTGGACCCACGAGGGTTGAGTGTGCCGCTGCTGAGCCATGCAAGTGGAGTCCAGCTGGGAGGCATCACGAGCCTCATCCAGAGACTGGGAGACAGCCATCAGGAAGGAGATGCTGGGTCCAACTGAGAAAGACACACAGTAGCTGGGATGTCCCCACAGGCTGCCAAACTAAATGTAAACTTAATTTCACACACTAAAAAGTACATCATATAGTATGATCCCATACGTGCTTGACAGATACACACCAAAACGTTGACAGAGATTATGGGCACTCTCTCTTCTTCACTTACATATATTGTCTAAAATCACAGACTAACTCTATAAAAACGTTTAGTGAGACAAAGCAAACCCTCAGCAATTCAAACAGCATGACCTGAGCCAATCCCAGGGCATAAACAGACCAGGAGAAGCGAGTGCTAGAGTGTGTGCTTACTCGAGGGCCTCCCGCAAATGCCAACCTCTGCACAGGCACCCCAGCTGCTTCTACTATTGGCAGAGCATAACAGGTCCTACTCCCTGAGGAGTTCATTCCTCAAGGTCGAGAGGGCTGCAGTTGCCCAAGAAAGAAGCCATGTCTTATGATCACCTTCACTTCCGAGTCCAAAGGCTCATGGGCATGTGAAGAAGCTGTGTTCATGGAGGAAACACAGTCCTGTTCTCTCTCAAGGGCCCAGCAGGCTGATAAACATGCTTCCAAAGGGACTCTCATCCACTACAAAGGTTAGACCAACCCTGCCTGCTGACTGCCCCGACCCAGAGAATTGGCTGGGACATCAACTCAGACTGCCAACGATCCTATTGTTGGGGGTACCCGGTGCACTCCCCACATACCAGGGATGGAATGGCAGACCTGAGGGCTGGCTGGAACAAAGGCCATGGCCACAGTCAAAAGAAGCCCAAGGTTAGAAGAGCACTCACCTACTGACCGGAGAGGACTTCACCTGGACCAGGCCCTTGATCTGTGCCTAAACTTCTATTCCTGTTCCTCTTGGGCAATGTAGATAATTACCCTGTGTTGGAGAGTCTATCCCACACTCAGATCCCATCCCAGTAGCCTTAAGTTCATGGTCCTCACTAATATAGATCCTAATGACTTCCTCAAGCCCATCCACCTCGTCACCAACTCCAGCTAACGACCTCCAACAACTGTCTCCCTCAAGCCTCAGATATTCCTTTCTCTGCATCTGTCCTCACACAATTCATTTACTCATTCATTCAACAGGTATTTTTAAGCCTTTCCTTGAAGCCAGTGATAATGAGCTCTAACCTTCTTGGGCATTCCTCCCTTTGATTTGTGAAGAGACACCAAGCCAGTCTGGTTCATGAGAGACTGAGTCTCTGCTTCCCATCTCCCAAAATGCTCATGCTTGAAACCCAGACACCACACTGTGAGGAGCCCAAGTGGTCACATGGAAAGGCCCCCTATGGGTGTTCCCACTGTGATTCCAGGTGACAGCCAGCAGAACTGTCATGTCAGGTAGTGAGCTAACCTGTGGTTAGCGAGCCACCTCAGCAGACACTGCAACGGAGCAGACATCCATTCTCACAAAGCCCTACCCAAACTGCAGATTCATGATCTAACTGAATGACTGGCTTGAAACAAGCCACTAAATTTGGTGTGCAGCATGGTAGTAGGTAACAGGGACATCTAGGGAGCCATGTCCCCATTCTTTATTTTTCCCCTCTCAGATAAACTAATAATTACCAAGCTTCCACTGAGTTCTCAGGCTCCGTGTAACTCCCATGTAACTCAGTTAGTCCTCCATGATCATTCCTTCCAACCCCTCTCCCAAGCCTCCTGCCTCCGTGAATGTTTCTGCCAGAAAACCAAAACCCTTTCTGATCACCCAACCCCCAACCACCTCAACACCACACCCAACCTGCTCATCCCTATGTTTCTGCCATGCCTGTCCCCTCCTCTCCAGCTCATGGACACCACCTTCAGCAGGGCCCTTACTACCTCCTAACCCATCTGTCCCCCAGAAGTAATACATGTTCTTCACATTCACATTTGACATTACATCTCCAAGTCACCCGCTTGCCCAAATATCCTCAAGAGCTGTCAGCTCATTACCTGAGAAAGTTGAGATTCTGCGGCCACACATTCAAGGTCCCTCACAGTCTGGGCTGGGGAGCTTCCATTTGAGGCCTGTCTCTTTCTAGAACATAGTCATACACTGCACGGCCTAGAAGGAACTTCCCGTGGACCCTCACATGGGCCGTGCCTATGTTCACACCACTCTTTCTGCAGGTTCCACACTGCTCAGACTGAACTCCTGCCAAACCTCAGGGCCAACTGAAGTGCCTCCTCATCTCTGAGGCCGTCCCAGTTTCCTGGACAGAGCCTGACATCTTGCCCAGGATACCCAAGCTCTTTTTCTGAATCCCCCTGAAGGCAAGCCCACACTTGCCAGGTGGCAACATGAAATGCACACACATCGACTCTCCCGTCCTGGAGTGCGCTACCTTGAGATGGAGGCTGGCTGACTCACTGCTGCAGTCTTCAGAGGAGGGGAAATCATTCCTTCTTTTACTCCTCAAATTAGTACTGAGCACCCAATATTTGCCAGACTCACGGTCTAAGTGTCATGGTGCATCTGTTAGCTGAAAGACACATGCTTAGAGCCTTCTAGTATGGCAGCCAATCCTAAGAATGAAAATGTAATTATGACCTGTGACAAGTGCTCTGAAGGAAACCCAAGGAACGGGAGCAGAGATGGGGGCCAACCAACCACACAGCACCAAGAGCTGCAAATGAATGAATAAATGAATGACTGAAAGAGCTTCACTCCCTTGTGTAGCCGTCTGTGCTTCTCAAAGCCCTTTCGTGCTGAAATCATTTCATGTTCAGTCCACGACCAGACTCACAAAGCATCTCTAGGATGTTCCCCAGGAAGTACAACCTTCTGTTTTTGCAGATGAGAAATCAAAGGCCCAACAGGCACATGACAAAATGCTCCCCATCACTCGCCATCAGGGAAATACAAATCAAAACCACAGTGAAATACCACCTCACACCGGTCAGAATGGCTAAAATGAGCAAGCCAGGAAATGACAGGTGTTGGCGAGGATGCGGAGAAAGGGGAACCCTGTTACACTGATGGTGGGAATGCAAGCTGGTGCAGCCACTCTGGAGAACAGCATGGATATTCCTCAAGAAGTTAAAAATAGAGCTAGCCTATGACCCAGGAATTGCACTACTGGGTATTTACCCCAAAGATACAGATGTAGTGAAAAGAAGGGCCATATGTCCACAAAAGCCAAACTGGAAAGAGCTGAGATGCCCTTATACAGATGAATGGATAGAGAAGATCTTGTTCATATCTACTATGGAATATGACTCAGCCATCAGAAAGGAGGAATACCTACCATTTACATCAACAGGGATGCAACCGGAGGGTGTAACGCCAAGTGAAGTAAGTCAAGCAGAGAAAGACAATTATCACATGCTTTCACTCATATGCAGAACATAAGAAATAACACAGAGGATCATAGGAGAAAGGATGGGAAGCTGAATGGGAAGAAATCAGAGAGGGATACAAACCATGAGAACTCTTGACTCTGGAAACAAACTGAGGGTTGCTGGAAGGGAGGGGGTGGGAAGATGGGGTAACTGGGTGATGAGCATTAAGGAGGGCACGTGTCGTGATGAGTATTGGGTTTAATATGCGAGAAATGTCACTGAACACTACATCAAAAACTAATGTTTAAAAAAAATATGTTGGCTAATTGACTTTCAAGAAAGAAAGAAAGAAAGAAAGAAAGAAAGAAAGAAGGAAAGAAAGAAAGAGAGAAAAATTGAAGGCCCTGGAGGATTTGCCCAAGATCATCACACATGTCAGTACCAGAGGCAGGACTAAGACCCTGACTCCCAGTGCAGACTGCCTCCACCGCCCTCCCTGTAGTCCACTCCTTGCCCGTCTCCCACCTGCTGCTGCCTGCCATCTGTGGTTTGGATCCCTGTGTTCCAACAAGAGTCTGAACCAGCAGAAGGCAGAGAGAAATGGCATATTTTGGGTAAAGGAGTTGCAGAAGTTAACTGGTTTACAACAGAACAGTTCAGAGCTCGCCTGGTGCCTCTGGACACTGCTCCCGTGGCCTGGAGCTGGAGGGACCCCCGACAAGTGGTCACTTTATTATTATTTCTTTATAGTTTTGAATTTGGTCAAACATCCTAATACAATGTAAAATTATACACAGTGGGCCCTTGAACCATTCTCCCAGTACAGAAGATATGGAAATAGACAATCCTTTACATAATTTCACAGAGATTCCCGATTAAGCAATTCTTAATCATTATGAAAATGTTTCTCATTTCTGTTTAAAGAAGAAAATGAGAAATTAACATAAACACCCAAAGCAGTGAACACAAGCAGTGAAAGTTCAAAGATATACATCAAGATGCTAATAGGGGCTGTTTCTGAATGGTAGCATTAAAACGGACAGTGGGAAGCCGGCTTCTTCCTCTCCCACTTCCCCTGCTCATGCTCCCTCCCTCACTGTGTCCCTGTCAAGTAAATAAATAAAACCTTTTTAAAAAGTGACCTTTATTGTATAATTTTCTGTACGTTCTATTGTGATTACTTGCTATAATAACCATCAAAACATAAACTGTCACCAAAAATAAATAAAAGATGTCATTACATGAAAAAAAAATTTTCCTGTGCTATTTGAGAACAAAATCTGTCAGCATGGTTTATGAAGTCATAATCCAGAAAATCAAGACTGTGATTTTAAAAATAGTTGAGCAGCAACAGTAGAAAATCTCAAAGAGCTTGATCTAGATTCTGGGGCTATGCTAGGCAGTGGGGTAGAATCCGGGCCAAGCGTCGGGTGGTTTCCCGGGTGAACTCAGAGGGCTGCTGTGATGCTCAGTAGGCAAACACACGCACATTTTTACTGTAATTTGTTGTATATTAAAAAGCTTCAGGAGTTCCTGACTCAGTGTGAATACTATAAACGTCAAATGTTGTTATTGCTGGTTTTTAAATTATGAGACTTTGGGAACCAAATTGCCCCAAAGCAGCCAGGGGAGCGAGAGACCTCCGGGGCACACTGTCCAGAGCCCCGTGAGGAGCATCTCACCTTCAGTTCCTAACACCACTGGGGGCAGGCAGGGGAAGGGCTGCCACTGCAGCTGAGGCTCATTCAGGGGGTGTCCTCATCCCAGGGGGACCCTGCTCAGGCCCTTCCAGACTGTCTGAGTGACCCCGAGGTCCTACCTCTGTAGCTTCTCTATGAGGGGCTGGGCTTCAGTCTCAGAGCATGAGGCCTGGACAAGGGTTACGAAACAGGGTTTCTGCTCCCCCAAACCCAGAGTGCTGGCACCTGTGGAGAAATCCCTGACTGTTCACCAAGCAGCTATAGGTACAGGGTCGGCTAACCTGACTCGGCCACCCTACTGCTGAAAAAACAGACCCTGCCCACTGGTCCCTGCCACATGCCGCCTCTGACTGTGAATGGGGCCCGCAGAAGGCCAGCCCTCATCAGCAGTACCCCTCCTTCCTTGAGGAGAAACCAGTCCCTGGTGGGCACTTGTCTCCTTTATTGGGTGCTTACCAATACCCTCTACAGCCCACAGGCCCTGCCCAGAACACGCCCACTCCCACCTGGCCAGGCTCAATCACCACTGTGTTTCCGGGGCCAGGCAGGCAGCCGTCTTCCAGGAGAGCAGCATCAGGGGTAGTTCCAGGGGATGACGATGCCACAGACCCTGCCATACAAAAGATGCGGGCACTATCTTCATCAGTGTCAGACAATTACTGCCCGTCCACACAGGAGCTCCGCACAGGCTACGTGACTTGTTTCTTCATCATCATATTCATGATCATCGTCACCATCAGAACGTTTCCCAAAAAGATGACTTCTTAGCTAAGCCCAGGCGAGGGGAAGAGAGTGGACGAATGCTGAGGGCAGGACCAACAGGACCAGCACTTTTCCTGGGAGCAATGGGTGCACTGAGGGTTTGGGAGAACCACTCCCACCCCCAGTACACCCAGCAGGGTGAGACAGTGGAGAGAGCACAGTGAGTGTTCCCAGGGAAGGGGGTGAGGTCATCAGGGTTGTGAAGGCTCCAAAGAAAAAAATACACGAGGGAAGTCTCACTGTCATGGCTGATCGGTACTCCCCAAAATTCATGTGTTGAAATCCTAACTCCAGGAATTAGGGTTGTTCCAGATGTAATTAGTTAAGATAAGGTCTTACTCGAATGGGGGGGTGCCTAACCCAAAATGATTGATGCCTTTATAAAAACAAGGCCATGTGAAGAGACAGACATACAGGAGGGGAACACGATGTGAGCATGAGGGCAGAGAGAGAGAGACACCAAAGATTGCCCATAAAGCCCAGAAGTTAGGGGAGAGGGCTGGAGCAGATTCTCCCTCACACCCTCAGAAGAAACCAACCTTCTGCCACTGTATCTAGAGCTTCCAGCCCCAGAACGCCAAGACAGTAAATGCGTGCTCTTTGAGCCTCCTGGTTTGGGTACTTTGTGACGACGGCCCTAGCAGACTCATACACCTGCCGATATAGGGAAAACCTCCCGCTCCCCCATCTCACTGGGAGGCTCAGCATCAGCGTCCTCCTCAGTCTGACAGGACGGACACCCTGAGAGGCGCCTGGAAGATCACTGACCTCACAGACTCATGTGTCTGGCGCCAGTGTTCACCTGGGCCCTGGGCCCCTGCCATAGCCTGCACCAGAGGAAGGGGCTCCAAGCACTCCAGCCCTGCAGGACTCTCGCTCCACACTCTGACATCTTGGCTGGGGAGTTCTTTGTTGTGGGGGGCTGTCCTGGAGCACTCCCTCCATCTCGTGTCCTCTGGGGGAAAGGCCGGGTGGTCACCCCTGCCCTGGAGTCCGTGCCGTCTCCCCCCAGCCTTGCCCCTCTCTGTGGGCTACAGGAGAGGGTTTACTGTGTCCACAGCCCACTCTCCCGACAGGAGCCTCCCTCACCAGCAGGCCTGTCCTTCAGGACCTGGTGTGTCCATCTGTGCTCATTTCTGTTAATCCAAATGACATTTGAAACCCTTCTCCTTCTGAAACACTCCAGGAAGCCGAGTGGTTCTGACCACCGTCCCTGGGGATGTGAGGTCCCTGCTGGTGGGTCATGGTGTCCCCACACTGTTGGGGCCACAGAGCAGGTGGGAAGGTCTGCTGGGTGCTGACCACACTGGGGCTCTCACCCATCTTAGATGATTTTAGAGGACATTCCTCGGTGTGCTTTCCTCACACCAGTTTCTCTCAGGCCTGCTCCTTGGGGTCCCCATAGTTCTGCCTCACGCCTTCACAGAGCAGCACACCACCCAGTAAGGATGCCACAACGCTCAGTGGGGGCTGTGCCGGGTTCTGCTGTTACGGCCCCAGCAGAGCTGCTGGGAGCACTCTTGGGCTGGTCTCCCGGTGCGCCTGTCAATGAGCCACACTGCCATGCTGTGTGGCGGGGGTGCATCCTGGGACTGAACAGTCAATGGCAAGCTGCCTTTCACAGGGTGGAGCCCCTCTGCTGTCCCCAGGCAGTGTGAGGGGACTTCTCTCTCCCTAGGCTATTGGGCCTCACTGCTGGGTGTAAATCATTCCCCCATCCCTAGTCTGTTCTGTGTGCAGTGGACACTTGACTTTCTCCCTTGGAGTGCCAGTTCTTATCCTTTGCCTATTTCTCTGTTATGTTGTTCCTATTCCTTGGTTCTGTGTAGTTCTTTGTTCTGATGCACAGTCAGCTTTATAATCTTACCAGATAAAATTTTTCAGGTGCACCCTCTACGAGCCTGACTGCTAGAGGGTTATTGAGGGGATTAAGTAAAATTACACTTACAAAGTCATTACAACAGTGCCTGGCACAGAGCAAGTACTTTGGGAATGAAAGCTGTTTCATTTGCTAGAATGTAAGTCCCTGAGGATAGGCACTCTCATCGGCTCTGATCGTCACTGTATCTCCAACACCTGAACTGCCCGGCACGTAGTGACTGTCGAATAAACAGACGTAGGATAGATACGCAGAAACGGGATGAGTGCCCACACAACATTCCCTATGAAAAGCACCCAGTGTGTGGCGAAATTCACCCTCTGCTGTGACTCACCCAATAGGCTCCTTCCTGATCAAGGTCAGGTTGCAGTTTGGTCTGGCATGGTTGATAGGGATGGTGGAGTCCTGGAAGAAGCACGGAGTGGCCGGGGGGGTCACTGGGAGGGGGCTCCACTGTTTCCTGAGTGGGCAGCCAGACTGTGTCTGGAGCTCAGAAATCAAGAGTTTTGTCTGTGTCCTGCAACCCCCATGAATCAAACAGGTAGAGACCCAAACTTTCCAGATTATGTATGACAGGGGCATCTGAGGACTCCAGACACAGGTGGAGTGGGCAGCCAACAGGCATAAGGTGCCTGCTGCACAGAGCCTGGCAGAGTCCTCAGGTGGGAAGTTGGTCCTGGTACAGCTAAGATCTCTGGCTTCGACACTGGGGCAGAGAAAAGGGGAGTGAGAGGCCAAGTTGCCTCTGGAGGGTGTGCTAGCCCAGGAGGGCCCAGGCAGGGGCCAGCTCCTGCCAGCAGAGATGCAGCAGCAGGAGGAGCAGAAGGTGGACCTTCCATTATACCTGTACCCCTCCACCCCATGGAGAGGACACAAGGCATGAACCCCAAATCTGGCACAGACCCATGAATGCCTCGGTGGTGGGTGTCCCATCACTGCCTGTAGTGGGCAAATCTCTGAAAATGGGTCCCATGGTCCCACTCTAATCCCTGGGATCGGGGAGATGGTGAGCTACTCCTTCTGCAAAGATGCGGAATGGCACAGTTGACCTTAGGAAGAGGAGATGATGCAGGTGTCCCCAGCACCACCTCAGGAGCCCCCACAAAGGCAAAGTTTTCTCCAGTTCATGGCAGACGGATGCCAAGCCTGAAAACAGCAAGGGGATGGAGGACTGGGGCAAGGGCCAGAGCAAGGCCTGCAGTGGCTGACGGCAGCCCCACTGGCAGTCAGCAAGGACCTGGGCCTCAGTCCTGCATCAACAGGAGCTGAACTCTGCCAACGCCTGAATGGGCCTGCAGGCAGGGTCTCCCCAGAGCCTCCAGCCAAAGCCCAGCCTGGACACACCTTGATGCTGTCCTTGGGAAACCCCGGCATGGAACCCAGCCTGAAGTCCAGCCTGCCTGGACTTCCCATCTGCAGAAGTGGGAGCTGATCAACAGGGTTCTTTTAAGCCAGTCAGCTGTGGTCAATTGTTATACTGCAGGCAGGCCAATGCACTGCCCTCAGAGTTTCCTGCTGGGCCCAGACTGCCTGTGTGAACTCACTTGGTGGGCAGGAACCTCAGCCTCACCTGAATCTTGTCGCACCATCCAGCAAAGCAGCAGAAGGTCTGGACGGACATGCCCACATGGGTCTTCAGGGCCAATGTGTAGACAGCACCAGCACCAGCACCAGCAGAGCCTCAATGGTGGCCAGCTCCTCCTGATGCTGTTCCATGAGGTCCGCCAACCTGGACAAGGGGTGGGGGTGCAGACAGGAGGGAGATGGGCTCAGGCCTGGAGCAGCCTGGCCTGTTCTTTCAAGGCCCTTCTTCAGTGAGTCAGGAGCTCTGCCCTGCACTCCCAGCTCTGCCACACTCTGCCACACTACGATGTGCTGACCTCAGTTTCCCCATCTGTGAGATGGAACAGTAAGGTCTCCTTGGCCGGATGAGTGTAAGAATGGTGCCCTTCTGGCCCCCTCTCCTCTCTTTTCCTTTCTTCCTTCCTAAAATATTGATGGATTTACTACTTCATAATGATGCTTACAAATGATCCAGCAAAATAGTCCCTCTGCCTCTCTAATAAGGAGGTCACCACTCCAAAGGCCACCCTCTCTGTCTCTGGACAGCCTTGACCAGGAGAAAGCATGTCTGGCTTCAAGCACCAGCTGATCTGCTAGAGTATGCCCCCAAGGATGGCATCCGTGGGGAGGGCGGGGTGGGCGGATGATGGCAGAGATTCAAGGGAAGGTACATCTACACAGCCCTTCTTAAATGGGGGCACTCTGACAGCCAGCTGCCCTCCCATGCTTCTGGTGGGTGCTGCTAGGGCAGCCTGGGGATTAGGACTCTGCCCCCTTCCCTGATGTAAGGGAGCTCAGGGAGCAGCGTGCCCAGGGGGGCAGGGTGGACAGGGGAAGGTGGAGACCACAGATCTAGAGCAGCTCTCAGTACATGGAGGAGCTCTGGCCCAAAGTCTGGGACCAAACCCTGCTGAGCTACTCCTCTCTGCACATAGCTATGGCATGTCTTCAACCCCCAAGTACACACACACACTCTCCAGGAAGCCAACCTTCACCCCACATCAATCATATCTCCCTGTAGTGTCCTCCTAGCACCCTCCATCTTTCTTCAAACCTTGCCTGACTATTACAGATACCCAGTTAGACCAGTATTCCAGTACTGTTTGCCTCCCCCTGATGGCTGGGACAGTATTTGGTCTCCTGCTCCCTCCAGGACCTCTTACACCGACCAACCACACAGTCAGCATGTGGCACAATGCTGGTGAGAGAAACTGGACCAAACAGACATAAGCACTCTAGTGGCAGAGCCACACTGTTACCTCAGAGACAGTATATACCAGGTAATTCTCTAGGTAAGAATAACATAGGTGTAAATCACTCTTCTATTCTATCTGGTCTAGAATAGTGATTTACTATTCTAGACCAGATAAGGAAAACACCATGTTGTGGCATTTCAAGAACTAGGGTTTCATCAACTAGAAAAACATGTGTCTAAGGTATAAGTCTATATTACACATAAGCCAAAGATGGCCTCTATGTATTGGCCCCTAGGTTGTTCACATCTTATTCGCAGGGTGAGACCTGTCAGCTCAGATGCTTGCTGGATATATGTTTATGTATCCAGTTATTTTAAAAATAGTCCAAACAAGCAGGCTTTGAGCTATTTAGGGCCTTGTTGCTTCACATCCTCCAGGAACTCACTTGACAGATGTTATCATCTGTGAGATGGACCACACAGTTGTAACTGCTGCCCCTCCCAGGCCTCTGACCCAGAGATCCCTGTTCTGCTACCAAGAAAACATTGCCAGGACATGAGAGCCCCCTCCTGCATCTCCTGACCCAAAGAATTCCCTTGCACCCCTCCCATTCTGAGTAGGCGCCCCCACTACAATCTCTGGAGGGCCTCCTACTATGGGGGCACCATCCCATGAAGTCTGTTGAGCATTACTACTTCTCATGGTCATCTTTTCCCTTGAACAGCCCCAAATTCCTCCAACTCTGCCAGACAATGTCACACACATGTGATGTGGTCATGTCATAAGTCCCTAGCGTGACTATCACCCTAGCATACCATTTGGGAGGCTCTTCAAGGAGAGCAGAGTGGAACTGTTCTATTGTCCACTTTGTTAAGCTGCAGCTCCACCTCCCAGAGTCCTGTCCCCAGAATGTGCCAGTGGAGAAAGCAGGGAATGCAACCTCCATCCCCCACAGGTCTGCAGGATGGATGTGAAGAAGGGCTAGGATGGGGCACCAGGCAGACTCAGCCTGGCACCCCTGGATCCCTAACAGGAGCGTGGGCCACCACCACATTCCTGGCTATGGACTTAAGGAAGTGTCTAAACACAAGGTGACAACTTCCCACAGACTCTCCCACCAGCTCTTGGTGGTCCCACTCTGGCAGCTGGGACACTGGCTCTCCAGGCTCCTGAGAGTCTTGATTTTGCCCCTCAGTGGTTCTTGGGGACTGTCTGGTGACTTTCTCTAACACTCCTTTCTGGTTCTTTCCTCCCAAATTACCCCTACAATGCATTCTGTATTCCATAATATCTACCCAGGTCCTACTTTCCTCATTAATGAGGGGCTGCCCCCTCCTGGGCCAGCAATGGACACACCTCCACCATGGGGACTGGGAGACTACATGAGGCAGGGACCGGGTTATTAGGAGCTCTCAGGCCTGGCCTCAAGATGAGTGTCCAAGCAGTCCAGGACTCTCTTCACAGTCTGCAGGGACCAAGGATCCCTCACTGTGGTGTGTCTAGTGGTGCCATTATGGCACATGCCGCTAGATGGCAGCAGAGAAGCTCAAGGAAAAAACTCCAGGCCAGCACATTCTGCCATGGGAGTCCCTGCTTCAGGACCAGAAGGCTCAGCAACATAAGCCTGGGCTTGCACATTTTGGTTCTGCCTAACCTGGAGGCTCTTGAAAGCCAATGGCTTCCTAACATTTATGGACTCTTCAAGGGGTCTTGAAACTAACTTGAGTTACGGCAGGCTGGGTGCACCTCCTTAAACCCCACCATCTCTGTTCTATTTCAAAACCATACAGGGCCCCCTTCTCTGGTCACCTGTGCTGGGGGCTGTCCTGGTGAGTCTGGACTCTGGAATAGAAAAAAAAAAAAAAAAAAAAAAAAAAAAACGGCATTCTCACTGAAAGGCCAAGACAGGGTCTCTCTCCCACCAGATGACAAGCACATTTGGACCACTTCATGACCAGGCTGTATGCCTGACAACTTCCCCAGGACCCAGAGCAGAAAAGCCAGGTTCCTGAAACCAGCTTGTTCACCAGTCTTTTCAACATTGCTTAGCTCATCTGCCCTGCAACCCCCTTCTGGAAACATTACCCCACTTCCTTGGGGGTGGCTGTTCCTCCCCCATTGGGACCACTTGGTTCTAGGGGAGCTCTCTCTTCTCCAGGCCTCACTCCCACCCCATTCTCTAAAGCTGGAGCAACCTGAAGTCCTTCCTTAAGATTTCTGATGGAACTAAGGGGAAAGAATCTCTTCTGCCCTGCTTTAAGAAAGAAAAAAAAAAAAAAAAAGACAGGAAAGTGTGAGATTCCAGCAGTCAGTGTGAAGCTGGGCAAGTGCCAGCAGACAGAACAGGCCCCATCTGTCCTTTGCTGGCTTCTGCATCAAGTAGCCCGATCCCACCTCTGGTCCAGGCCACTCCAGGCAAATGCCGTACTGAGCCTGCCCAGGACCATCTGTTAGCTTTGCCAGTTTGCTGCTCCAATCTGATCGGCACCTTCACTTTTATACCCTCTCATCTTCTATCTCACTGTCCCCTCCACCGAGGACACCTTTGTCTCCTCTGTTGTATTTGCCTAACTATACTGGCATCCTTGGGGTATCCAGGGTTACCAGGGAGAACCTGGGACACTGAAGGTAGGCTCTTAGGTGCCCTGGCTTCCTGATGTCCAGGTCCCCCCACATGTGCCACTGTGGATCCACAGATGTGGGTTCTGAGGGGTCTGTAATGCCAAGCCCATGTGGAGGAAGACTCACACAGTCAATGATGCACTTGTTGTCTTCGTCGTCCCCTCATAGCTTTCTCACTAATAGTTGGATGAAGTCCCCAAAGGTGGTTGTCATGTAAATATCTTCATTTTCTAATTCCAGTCCATTATACAGCTCCTTCAATTCCTCAATCAGTCTGGAGAAAAGAAGATAGAAAAGTGGGAGAATGGGAAGAGGCTTGGCAGAACAGCATCACTGTAGCAGCAGAGGTCAAGTGGCCAAACACGGTTTCCCAGAACTCATCTCAACACCCAAGTATGAGTGTTAGTTAGAACTAGGGTTCAGTCTTCGACATCGGCCACAGCAACTTCTTTCAAGACATGTCTCTAAAGGCAAAGGAAATAAAAGCAAAAGTGAACTTGTGGGACTTCATCAAGATCAAAATCTTCTGCACAGCAAAGGGAACAGTCAACAATACAAAGAGGCAACCCACGGAATGGGAGAAGATATTCTCAAATGACACTACAGACAAAGGGCTGATATCTAAGATCTATAAAGAACTCCTCAAACTCAACCCCCAAAAAACAGATAATCACATCCAAAAATGGGCAGAAGACATGAACAGATACTTCTCCAAAGAAGAAATACAGAGGCGCCTGGTGGCTCAGTGGGTTAAAGCCTCTGCCTTCACCTCAGGTCATGATCCCAGGGTGCTGGGATCGAGCCCCACATCGGGCTCTCTGCTCAGCAAGGAGCCTGCTTCCTCCTCTCTCTCTCTGCCTGCCTCTCTGCCTAACTGTGATTTCTGTCTGTCAGGTAAATAAACAAAATCTTAAAAAAAAAAAAAAAACAAACAAAGAAGAAATACAAATGGCTAACAGACACATGAAAAAAATGTTCATCATCATTAGCCACCACGGAGATTCAAATCAAAACCACGTTGAGAAAGCACCTTACACCAGTTAGAATGGCCAAAATCAACAAGACAGTAAACAACAAGTGTTGAAGAAGACGTGGAGGAAGGGGAACCCTCTAACACTGTTGGTAGGAATGCAAGTTGGTGCAACCACTTTGGAAAACAGTGTGGAGATTCCTTAAGAAATGAAAAATAGGGGCGCCTGGGTGGCTCAGTGGGTTAAGCCTCTGCCTTCAGCTCAGGTCATGATCCCAGGGTCC